TAAGTGCTTTTATCCAAGTAAATAACTTACTGAAAAGGAAATGGAGCCCTAATGTCGAAATAATAATAATAATAATAATAATAATAATAATAATAATAATAATAATAAGAAGAAGAAGAAGAAGAAGAAGAAGAAGAAGAAGAAGGGAGACCATGATGGCAATGTCGAAATAGAAATGCTAACATATTATAATAAGTCAAAATTTTCATCCTGTCTGTTCTATTGGGGAATCTATATCTTTAGAATCTATAAAGTAGAGAATGACATCAACTAATTAATCTACAGTTTATCACACGAAAATTGAGAACATTGTTTATTTTTTTGAAAATTTGTTTTTTTTTTGTGATTTCATATTTCAGACTCACATATTTGCAACACAAATTTGGAATCATAAATAGATCATTAAGTTCAAATTACTACTCCAAAACCTATTAAAATTGTAGCACAAAGATGTTCTCGGCTAAGGTTTGATGAATTTTCTTTATAAAATAGCCAAGGAACAAAGAATTCTATTTCGAAAATAACTTTTTTTTCTTTTATTTAGAGAAATTAGATAAGAGATGGATTTGGACCATTTGGTGATGAATTTCTAATTTGATCATGTGCTTCTGCCGGGTAATTAATCAATTATGCTAACAGACATGCTTTATTCTAATCTTGTTTCAGTGGGTTTTCAACGGACCATCCAAAGAAGCAGATAAAAACAAATTCTAGGTGTGAACTCTTTTTTTTTTTTTTGATAAATGATAATTAATCAAATCCAATTGGTTGGTGGGTTCTGCTTGTGCAGAGTATGAGAAATGGGACAAAGATTGAGGAAAGCAATCAAGATAGATAACCCCACAAATCACAACCGTCCACTGCAGAAACTATTAATTAAGAGGTCATTTTTGCGATGGTCAAGCACAGCTACTGCTCGAGATGTTGTTGATTTGATGGGCCCACCATAGAATGGGTATTCCGTACACCATTTGGATGCATCTCGATTGGTGGGCCACATAATTCAATCTGCAGGCACTAGACAGTGATGCTCTATCTATTCATCCCATGATCCCATCCTGTAATCCTGTTGTTTTATTTATGGAAAGTACGAAGTAACGCTCCCTTTTTCGGTTATCTTTGACCATTGGACTTTCCAAACAGACCCTGCCATCTCCCCCCTTCAGGGGAGTTCTAGTTCTAGCCTTCTAGGTTCTTCCTGTCATGGGCCAGGCATCTCTGGCCTTTATTATCCAGCCAAATGCAAGGAAGCTGAGGATCCGGATCATGATGGGTCGGGTCAACGGTCAACCCACCAACCCAATTAGATTTGAGGTATGCATAGTATAGCCTGTGAAAGAAAGTTGCCCATAGTAACACAGAAGCAGATTTATGAATTAAGACGAGTATGGTGTGCTTTCAAGCTTTCGGTTGCTAGTTGGTCAAGCTCTCTCCAATGGGCTGACGACCTGTTTGTTAGGGGACCAGTCCCTTTTTAAATGAGTTACCTTCTTCCCTTCGGCTTATTCTTCTTTTCATTATTATTAAGGGGGCTCTCTTTTTTCTTTTCATTATTATTTCTTGGTGGCCTTTTGAAAGGCTTTAAATTCAAACCTGGTAGACTTTTTTACCCATCAGTTCACATGTCATCATTTGAATGACTATTTCATTATTATTATTTGTCTTATCCTTTTTTAATCTTTATAATAATAATAATAATAATTTTTTTGTTCTTTATTTACCTTTTAAGGTCATAGTAGTTTTGTTTTAGGGCCCATTAAGAGGGTTCAAGCTTTGATTGAGCTGATTTCTCTCAGCTACTTTGGAGCAGCCACTATGACAAAGCCACATTTTTTTTTTGTTGTAAAATAGTCATTTGGGTTTTATGATGTTTTCACCAAACATTATTTATAAACTGTTTAAGTGGGGTCCACTTATAAAGCCAAAATCCACTGCATAAAAGCCCTAGAGGTAGTGACTTTGGGAGAATAAACAGCTCAACTAGACAGCATAATTTTTCATGGAAGGAGCCGTTACTTGGTGGTGCAATGATGAGTCCGGATCTATTTCTTACATAGCGCTCCTCACACCTATCTCACATTATCTATCAGCAGCACATCAATAACACTTTACATATTTATATGTTATAAGAGATGTTTCAAATACATGGTGGGATGTATCTGTAAGGTCAGTGTGAGGAGCGCTCTGTGAATAGCAGCTGTCAATTCAAAATTTTGAGTTGATAAGCRTGTGAACATGGTGGATTTGAGTGTTAGAGAGGTTATTTAGCAAAAAAGTGCCAAAAGGTAAATTTGTATCCAGTCTATCCCTCCTAAAGACCTTGAATAACCAGGATTATTATTGGATAATGGTCTTTTCTTGAAAGAGAAAAAAAAAAGACTGAAGAAAAAACAGAAAGAAAAGAAAAAGAAAGAGGGAGATTAACAAGATGTAGTCATTAATATGATGAATTGATGATTTACTTAGAATAATAGGTTGTTTAGTTGTTTTCACTTGTATCACTTTGTCAATGAATAAGGCAGTTGATCTTTTCATTCATCATCACTTCATCCAGTTCATTGAAATTTCGCAAGCTTAACTAATCTATTCGTATTCAGTCAATGGCGAGGCCTAGTCAGCAGAAACACATTCGACGAAAAACTATGATTATTTTACTGAAGGTTTTCTATATTCTGAGTAGTACTTTCCTGTCGAGCTCTTCAGCGAGTCGTGATTAATTAGTCTTCTTTCCTTCTTTTAATATGTTTAAACGAACAAATGGACAGGAAAAAGGTAACAAGGAAAAAACAAATAGCAATTGCCCAATGTTATTGCATCTTTCAACCCATTGTACTAGTTTTAAATATTGGCGTTTAGTGATTCAAATAACACTGCTTATTGAAGTAGGTAATTTCCTAACTACTTAAATTATCGAATTAGTTGATCAAGAATAGAAACTACATTGAACCGAAGAACTGAATTATCTAGATTCAAGAATAGAAATCTATACTATATGAAGCAGATATAAGAATGAATTTGGTGATGCTCATAAAAATTAAATCCAAATATTGTCTATAGCATGTGCTTTTATACTATTATAGTGAATGCAAATTATGCTTATGATGTTTATCTCACTCATCTCGATTCAAATAAACCTTATCACAGGATGCTCGTACATGAATCCTGGTTCCACCATTCCACTCTATTTGGTGCTATATCCATTTTTATTTCATGGACCATTAAATCCTGTTCCACCGTTTTCACATCCCTGACCACAATATATTGCTGGTCATGTTTATCCAGCCACACATTAGGAACATCTTTCATACTTTTATACTGCCGATATTCTATATGTACAGCCAAGATTCAAAATATGTATTGTATTGGGTCTTTCTCGATATGCCCCTACAGGGGGTGTATCGGGTCAGACCATGGTTCAGAAGGTATCCAGGACTTAAATTGACTCTTCTGAATCGATTTTGAAAGAAATAAGGGTCCGTTTGGTTTGTAATTGGAATCGGAATCGAAATCCTCTAGAATCAGAATCGGAATGTTCCATTCTCATAATTTATTTGGTTCAGATAGGAATGAGAATGAGAATTAAAATCAACAGGAATGAGATTTCATTCCCAAAGAAGAAGCAGGGAATGGCCATTCCCTCAAATGGGAGAATGCCATTTCAGCAGGAATGAGAATAAGATTCTGATTCCTCCCAATCAAACAGTTGGAACCGGAATAACCCATTCTGATTCCAATTTCCGATTCCAGACCCCTATTCTTGCAAATCAAACGAACCCTAAATAAAACACAAAAAAAAAAAAAAATACTGATACAAGCTGATGTATCAATATTTAGAACCTTGTGTGCAGCTAAGTGAAAGTGGCCAGGAATGTGTTGTGGTAAGCTGGACTCCCTTATAACAATGAAAACAAAAGGCCAATATTGATTCAGTCGGTATTGGTGATTTAGATGATAAAAGTTATCTTCTAGGAAACCGAAAATCTTCTAGTTAATCTTTTGCATTTAAGCAAAGGTAGAGAAGGGAAGGGGAAGTTAATTCCATTAGGTGTTCCTAATCTTAAATGACTTCAAAAATAAAAAAAACGCATCTATATTGGAGGGATGCCGACTGATCTACAGATCATCTTTAATTTATCCCGTCGGATGACCAAAAATTCAAACTAATTCAATGATTCCACACTTCTAAAACGAGGCATAATCTTGAGCCAATCCTGCCCTCCCCCAAATGGCCCCAAATATCATTAATGCACCATTATCCAACTGAACTAGCGCTTACATATAAATCTGTCAGACTTTTTGAACCTGCTTACACGTCCAAATCCAAAATCTCCCAGCCCACTTGGCCAACTACAGAGCTAACTTCGCCCGAGTAATTCCACCTGTGAATTTTGACTGTATTTAGAAACAAAAAGGCTACAAACACTGTTTTAGGTGTGCTCACTGCTCACTAAGCATGGAGCTTGACATCTTTTGACGTCTATGGGTCTTAATCTTCTCTCTTTCCTGACACAAGGCACATAGAAGATATAAAGCCCAGGCCCAAGCCCATTTAGACAAGAAGAGATAGATAGTAATTTTGACTAACCCCAGTTTTCAGCACAGGATTCAAGAAAATCCTCTCTTTAAAGGTAACTCACTGGTCCCCGTTTTATGGACACCGCGTGTCTTCAATTAACCAAAGGAGCCAAAGCCATGACATAGTCACATAGAGAACCTTTGACTTCTCTCTCTCTCTTCTCTTCAATTAAATAAAGAGATCCCCAGAGCTCCTATCAAGTATTAGCTCAACACCACCACCAACAAAAGCATCGGCTCTCACATCAGAATTCAGAACCATCAAATCCTCCCCCTCTCTCTCCCCTCTCTCTGCGATGAAGGGGAAAGGTTCCTCCTTTATTGGGTTTCTGTGAACGACGATCAGAACAAATTTAGCCATAAGAATAGAACATGGGAGTGGCAGACGGAAGAAAGAGAGAGAGGTAACGGTGCAAATTGGGTAAATGAGGTGTAAGAAGCATCTCTCCGACCTCAGCAGCAGCGTCGGCGTCTGCGCTTCTTGTCTCCGTGAGCGCCTCTTCGCTCTCATCGCCGCTCAAGTCCAAGCCCAAGCCGAAGAACGCCGGAAATCTGATTCACATCCACCGCCGCTGGTCTTTCCCCGCTCCGTCTCTCCTTACGTTTGCCGCCGCTCGGACGATTCCTCTTGGCACCACAATCACTTCGATCAACGATTTTACAGTACTCCTCAAGTGGGTCCCACCTCAAACTCCGCCGCGCATGGTCGTAAAAAGAAACACAGCAAGTTCTCTCTGCTCACCTCCCTTTTCACCTCCAGATCGAAAGACCATCGCCACGAAGCCGACGACGAACATCAATCTAGAGTTTCAAGATTTTCTAGAGATTCAATTTCCTCTTCGTCGTCCTCTCCGATCTCATCCTCCTGGTTCTCCTCTATTCTCCCAAGTCGTAGTAGGAAAAAACAATCCCGGCTATTCTCCCTCGACGAGACTGCTACTGCTACTGCTGCTACTACAACCACCACTACTACATGCAGTCGTCGGCCATGCCGGGCGAGGGATCGAGGAATGTCGCCGTCAAAGGGCATCAATGAAGGCAAATACTACGAAGACTACGAAGTTTCTCCTTCGGCGAGTGGGTACTCATCGGATGCCTCCCAAAGTCGGTGGAAATACCTGATGACGGCGCCGGCAGTTCGACGGAGAGAACCTCCACAGCACAACCGAAACGTTTCGGGATTGGCGTTCTGTTTGAGCCCGTTGGTGCGGGCGAGCGCCAATACCCACCGGAATAATGGGTTTTCCGGGGATATGGGGTTTTCCGGCGAGATTAGAGTGCCGTCGAACAAGCCGCATCATCTGTCGACGGCTGCATCGTTCTGTGCCAACAGATCGAGAAAGCTAGCAGATTTCGGGAGGTACGACAGTTTCAACCATTGATTACCACGACGAATGACGGCATCTTGGTAATTTTTTGGGGGACGGTTTTGCCCTTGTAATTTAGTGGGTTTTACTGCATATAGATCTGAATCTCCATCTAATCTGATCATCACTCCCTTATCTACGGTTCAGAAAAATTAGAATTATAAAATTACGAAAACACTGGTTGTATCTCTGTATAGATATGCTGATTAGCGATTCAATATTGGGTGGATTATGAATTGGCCAAGGATAATTGAAATGTTTTAATTTTAATAATTAAAAAATCCATCTTCGGGGATAAAATTCTTATTTTAATTCTCTTTCTAACTGGTTTTTCGTGGTTTATTTATTGTTGTTTAAGCTAAACGTTCAAATCAGCCGATTGGTGAAATAGTGATGCTTGTCTTTCACCTAAATTTTCCCCGTCTTTGTCAACTATTCCGACGTGTTGTTCATTAAATAAAGAAAAGAGGAGGAAGAATGAACGTCAACCATGCATCATGCACGGCTGGAGCACCGAGGATGGCGTGGCCTGTCTACATGGGTTAGTGGGTGCTGATCATCTTGCATCGTAGCCGTTCATTTTTTGTTGTTGAAAATGGAGAGTGGAGTGGTGCCCACTGATTTAAATGTATTCATAGGCTGTACACATGGGTAGGTCCAGAGGAGCATTTTAGGATGAGGAGGAATTAAAGATGTTGGCAAGGGAGGGGATGTTTGGGTGTGAGGTTAGGTCTGGAAGTACAGATCTAGCCAGCCAACCTGATGCAGAGAAACTGTGTCTTTTGTGTGTAGCGGAACATGAGATCGGCTTCACATCGCTAGCACAATCTTTTACACCGTGTATTGGGAATATTTTCGTAGTTATATGTTATTTTTCATGGCGAGATATTCATAATATAAGCAATACTACAAAGGATTGTACGGACGGTGTGAATACGGTCTTGGGAGCTGATGTAACCGTTTTTGGTCACATACCATTTTTTTGTGATGTATAAATTTTTTGGCTAAGTACCTCGTTGTTTGACCCGGTGGTGATGTGCCTTGGTGATGAGCTACTTGGTGGTGAACTCCCTCGGGGAGAACTGCTTGGTGGCAAATTGCCCGGTGGCGAGCTCCCTAGTGGAGAGCTACTTGGTGACGAACTGCCAGGTGGCGAACTGCCTGGTGGTGAACTGCCTGGTGGTGCTCCCTGGTGGCGAACTGCTTGGGGGCGAACTGCCTGGTGGCGA